CCGACAGGTGATGGTCAAAGGTCAGCTGTGGGTCCAGGAGGACTCCCAAGTTGCGAACCCTATCTGAGGGGTATAAAATTGACCATTCCCAAATCCGGGCGCAGCGTTTTCCATCCATATCCCGGGTCCCACCTTCTCCTTTTCCAAGACGGCCCACAGGCCACGCTAAGCTTTTCTCTCCCAGCCTTCAGTCGCCTTCTCTGGGCTTTTAGAACTGGCATGGTTAACGCTAAGCAGGGCAACTTCCAGTGTTTCGTCCGAGAAACCACAGCATAGGTTTTTCGGGTTCCCTCCCACCCTGGAAGTTCGAGCTTCCTATAAACGCCGTGTTTTGTTTATTTGTTTTGACCGGTCGTCCCAACCCTGGGATCGAGAGCAGAGAATAGGTGATGGGTCCGTCCCTGCCCTATTACCTCCTTCACACGATCAAGCACTGGGGCAAGCACTGGGGGGGGGGGGGGAAGAGTGCAAAAGATTACGGCTTTCGAGCTTGCTTTAAATCCTACATCTCGCCAGACGTCTGGCAAAGCCAATGAGACGCTTCCGCGAGGGGGGCGGGCTTTTCTCCCCCCACCTACAAATAGAAGAAGAGCTGCTCATTAACCTGCCCCCTTTTGATCTTTGTCGACACAGATACCGGGATCTCCGCCCTCTTTTTCCTCTTCCTGCCCTCAACGTCAACGTTTCCCCTCCGGACCAATGGGAAGTTACATCTGCGCTTGATGGATCTGCGCCGTGCCCAATAGGAGCTGGGGAATCGGCAGGATCCCTGCCTGCCCCGATAGGCGGCGTTCCCCTCCTAGCCAGGCGGGGGAAGAAGGCCACGGTTATCGATCCTGCTGCTGGTAGAGGGAGGAGGAAGCGACACCAGAGAAAATGGCGGCCGTGGCTGCGACTGCGGCGGTGCCGGGTGATGGGGGAACTGGCGAGGTCGAGCCCATGCCAGGCAGCGAAGCCGGCGCAGACGCGCTCCCCGCCGGCACGCAAGCTGCCGTGGAGTCGGCGGTGCTCGACGCTGCCAGGGAGGATCCCGAGCCAGCGCCGGGCGGTGAGGCTCAGCAGCCGCCGCCGCCGCCGCCCAAGAGCCCAGCGGGGACCCGAGACCTGCCGCAGGCCCAGCCCAACCCGGGCCCCGTGGGAGAGCCTCTTCAGCCTCGCTCGCTGACAGCCACGCTCTCCGGCCCTTCTGAAGAGGGAAAGTCAGGCGACCAGCCCCCGCAGCCGGGCTCGCCGCTGGTACCTCCGCTGGTGCTTGCAGCTGGGGGCCCCGCGGGGCCGGAGCCCGGGGAGGAGCCGCCCCGGCCGGAGGAGGAGGAGCCGGATGCTGCTGCTGTCGCCGCCGCAAGTACCACGGCAAGCCTTGCAAAGCAACCGGAGCTTTCGGTGGCTGCCGGTGCAGCGGGGGAGGAAGAAGAGGAGGCGCTGCTACTGCCGGGCTCAGAGGTGCTGGTCACCCTGGACCACATCATCGAGGATGCGCTCGTGGTATCGTTCCGGTTCGGGGAGAAGCTCTTCTCCGGGGTCCTCATGGATCTCTCCAAAAGGTGAGCGAGCCTGACCGGCCGCGCCCTGCCTGCTCGAAAGCCTCTCTCTCCCACCGAGGCTGTTGGAAGGAGGCGCATTGGCTGCTTTCCCAGAGTGGCTCCTCTCTAACCTTCAGCTGCTGCTGCTGCAACCCCCTCCACCTTCCCCCCCACCCAAAAAAATAGTCTCCGCCGAGTCGAGGCCTCGATCGCCTCCTGGGTGGCTGCACAGAAAGGTGGGGCACAAGCCATAAGGTGCAGGGCTTTATGGCTCCGCCAAGGGGGCGCGAGTGGCTTTTCAGTGAGCCTCGTGGCCTAAACTCGGAGCCAGGAAAGGCCGCCTCCCCCTTCCCTGCCCCACCTCAATGACTACTATTTACTAGCCTTTCCTTTTCATCTTTGGTTTCGTGTTTAAGGTTCATTCACTACCAGCTTTGGTTTTTTTGTTTTAAGCGAAGAAGTGTTGTGTAAAAGAAGCTCTGAAGGGTTGCTATCCATCCCACATGGACTTGGCTATACAATTTCCCTCACAGCTTGCGAGGATACTGGCAATGTTGTAGCTGTGGCCAAAAAAAAAGTCTGTTCGCCAAACAATATACATTTGCCCTACCTTATTGCTATGGATATTTCAGCATTTCTTCCATTTGGTTATCCTTCTTTCTTAGCTTTATAGAAGTGCAGAAATTATCAGTTGCTATTTGGGGGAGGGGGGATGCTAGAATGTCTCCTGATACAGGTAATACATATTTGAAAGCTGCTGCGTAGATAGCTTTCCTTCTTGCAGCCAGGATGAAAACTGCACTTATTTGTATATTGCAAAGCAACTTGTTCTGGCAGAAGCATTAATTTTTCTGGTTTTGAGGAACTTGCACCAGAGCGACACACCCTTTCATTGAGTTCATCAGGTAAAGGGTACATTTGTAAACAATCCCAGTATCACCAACATTATAGCTTACTTACAATAAAGAAAATACATGGCACTGAAGGAAGCAATCTTTTTTCCCCCACAGTATACTTAATTAAGGAAAATCAGTCAAATGCATTCCTATGTAGTAAAGCTGAGCCTGTTCCCTTATTTACAGAGAAACAACAAAAGATTGTACCATTAAATTTTATCTAAAATGAAGCTGAGATCATACAGCAGGATTTCTGAGAACTTGGGCCCACGCATCTTTCAGTTCTGAAGAGGAAGATGAATAGTGTCAATTTATACCATAAAGTCCATTTTAAAATTCATTCTTGTGGGTTAAGTATTTCCAGGAACATTGTATAAGTCATTGCTTTGACACTTAAAATACATGTAAAAGGAGCCTCGGGAGATACAAAAGGACTGGAACTTTTAACAAATGGAAGGAGGAACTTTGGCAATTGGGGCCAGCACACTTTTAAAATTGTAATACTGCAAATTAACACAATGACTAAGAGGATAACAAGCAAGATGGATGGTTTCAATTACACTGGCAAATAGGTGTACCCATGGGAGTTCTTAATAGCCAGATTGGGGACACATCATCCTGGAGAAGGTCTGTTTATGTGGTTGCTAAGAGTCAACACTGACTTGATGGCATGTAATCACTCTAAAGTGCATTGCTTATATATTTAATATATCTAACTACCAAATTTCTGACACATACTAAAATTGCCTGATAATCTTACAGAATTTTTGGTATGATAGTGTATGGCCATTATTACTGCCTTACTTATAAACAAATATAGGTAATGCTGTTTCTAACTCCTTCAGAGTACATACTAAGCAGATTATAAAATGTAATTGTATTAAAATTATGCAACACATGCAGCTATAGAAAGGCTGGTGTTTGTAATGTTTGAGAGAGTGGTATAATGAATTTCCAGTATGCATTTCTTCATTAGTCCACAAGGTGTTTAAAGGATGTATTATATAAAATTGATCATGTATTGCCATAGATATTGCCATATGTTTTCCATGACAAATATACAACATATGCTGACTTTCAAATTCTCAGGTTTGTCAGCCCATTGGTGCTAGTGGAAGGGATAGTCTGGCATTATCCATAGCAGTCAAGGACCTAATGTGCTTGTCTTTTTTCCTTGATATATAGCCTTAATAGATCTGGTAAAGTGTCTTACCTTACATTTTCTTTTGCAGGTATGATATTCGAACTATGCAGAACTGAAATAGGGTTGGAAAACAGAGTAACATCAGTGCTCTTGGTTTAGTTGGAGAAAGTGAAATTCAACCCCATAAGACAAAAAATTAAAACAGCAAGTTGTTTCACACATCAAGCATGGATACTGCATACCCTTAAACAGTGTTATATTAGTAGCTTGTCTCCTCTCTGATGTTTCCAGAGCTATTATTAACATTCTTCTCTAACAAAGAATGGGAAACTTTGCCGCTTCTCTTGCATAGTTGATAAGCCATTTGATACAGGCATAGGCAGGAGGTGTTACTGTTTCATTTACTTCATAGTAATGCTTTTTCAGCTGTTAATATAGTGGATGGATGGATATACACACACGCATTCACACATACTGGAGAAAGGGGATAGGGGAAGAAAAGAACGGGCATGTAGCGTTTAATCTGGTTGGCAAGTTTGAAGCATGTTGTAGTTTCAAAGTAAAGCACAAAACATCCATTAGCAAAATGCAGCCTAGAAAGATTACTGCTCATTTTAGTTTTCTTATTTTGTGCACTTATTTGAAAATGAAGTAGAGAATGCAGTATTCTTAGAAATAAACATTATGCTAGGTATTAGTATTTTGCTGTGTAATGCACAACTACTGAACATAAAATAATCTTTTTAAAATAGTGGTACAGAGAAATTGTGATGCTAAGAGAAGTGTTTGTGGATTGGTGCTTTTAGTTGCTAGGTGCCAGTTTAATCTGGTAATAGCTAGAATACAGCTTTGCAGTTATATACAGTTTTATAATAAAACATGACCAAAGTTTAACATTTTCATGAAGTGCATGTTTACTTACAAATCAATAACATCGTTGATGTAATTGTAACAGACATTGTTATAGGGCATCATCTTACAAAGCTAAAATACAGACTTGCTTATCATGTTAGGTAAAGGCTCTTTGGAATTTGAAGACTCTTCAGCTAACATCACGTGGTTTATAAAATGATCTTAGCTTGTTGAAATTCATAGTAAAAATGACTCCACACCACTTTATGTTTCGTTTCAATAGTGATGATGTCATGAGTAGGTTGAGTAGGTTTTAATTACCTTTACTTTTTAATGAGCTGGTTGGAATAATTTAAAAAATAGTCTGATGTTGTAAGTAAACTTCCCTGGGTAGAAGTCATAGTGAAGAATTTGTGTTCAAAATGTGTTACCGTATAACAAAAAGATAAGCAATTATTTGATAGTTGGAGCTGCAATATGCTTGGCATGGGCAGAACCGTGTGGCGTGTATCTGAAGCTAGGATTTTCTGATTTTATATTGTCTGAGTTTTGAGTAAGAAGTTCAAGTTTTTCTTCTAAAAATTAAGCTCTGTCATTTTTAAGCTTACTCTGCAATTTTCATGCATTACTTGCCTCAGACTGAGAAGAAATTTATGTTGCCAATTTTTGACAATTGTACAGTTCGTCCTTGACTTACAGCCACAATTGAGACTGGAATTTCAGTCACTAATCAGTGTGGTTATTAAAGAAGGCATCTCATAACAGGACTTGGTTTTACAGCCATTTTTACCCCTTGTTAAGTGACTCACTGTGGTTAATACCAGTAGTATATAGTTGTTTAGCAAATCGGCTTCCCCTATTGACTTTGTTTGTCGAAAGCCAGCTGGGAAGGCCACAGATGTTAACCATGTGACTGCAAAATGCTGTAACCATCATAAATACAAGCCGACTGACAAACTCCCAAATTGTAATCACATTTCTTCAGGTGTTGGTGCAATAATCATAAGTAGCTTTTTTGGGTAATGTTGTAACTTTGACCCTTCATTAATTGAATGGTCATAAAGCAAAGAGTATCTGTAGATACATTCAGGGATATCGGGTATAGAATTTTTGCATGTTATTACCATGATGATGAGGGCCATGATAATCAATGACTCTTATAACACTGTCTTTTTGTGGAAAACTTTTTGCCCACTTTGCCTTCTATATATGGCTTAGTTCTCTTAAATCAGCTTGGGATGGAAAATGCTTTCTGCATTATTCAACCCAGCCTAACTATGTTTGTCCAGCCAATTTTACATACACTTAATAACACTATTATATAAGGAATTTTTATTTTCAGATAGTCTCGACATCAGATTTTAATGGCATGGTAAACCTTCGATTAAGACATTTCATGCATAGGCCAAGCCGTCATGATATTGTATATTCCCGTACATACTTTAATTTGATTTACCAATTCTTCACATATATGATATATAAACATGCAAGTATACAATCCCTTTTGAATATAACAGGCATTGTCATTTAACATTCTCCCTCAATCCAAGTTCTTTATATGGGTAGCTAGGTAGCTATTACATATAGTAGGGAAGTCCTGCAGGCTTTTAAAATATTACCTGTAGGGATGCCTTTTTGGGACCGTCTCCTCGTCTCTCAGACAGCTCCTTAGTGGTCATCTGAAAGTTTGGTTTCATAAAAGGATTTTCTCGGGGTTGGAGGTACTAGCAGGCCAAAGATTAACATAATTCAGAATAGCTCTGAATTAAAAATGAATCAAAATTCCTTAAATTTACTTCCAGAACCTCCTGTAAGTAGACATAGCTACGAATAAAAAATACTATGTTGGAGGCTAGCACTTTTTAAAAAAAAAATCAAATGATATAAAAGTAAAGCCTTTGTAGCCACAGGCATCAAAATACCATTAGGATAATATTTGGCCCTAATCAAGCAGAGTTGGGACAGATAATTATTTTACCAGGTTTACTACAAGCCATGAAACAGCAACTATTCTGCCACTCCTAAGTATGGCTGTAGGAAAGAAGCAGGGAAAGGTATGTTTTGAATTATGGCAGCAATACAAATAGATAAAAGGGAGGAGGAGACCAGTTAGATAGAGCCTAGTGGAAGGAAAATTATGTTTGCATATTTTTTGAACTGTATCTGTGTACAGAAAACTCATATGGCAAACTAAACTATTTGCTTTGAATTCTATGAAAGAATCTTAAATACTGGAATCAATAATCATACGTTGCTGCATTGAATTCTGCTGGAAAATGTACATTGGCAGCAGTTGGGGCTCTCTGTTCACAAGCTATTGTACTGTATATTGGTATAGATCAGGGGTGTCAAACTCACGGCATCACATCATGTGATGTATTGGGACTTCCCCCCCCTCTTCACTAAACCAGGGGTGGGCATGGCCAGTGTGTGACGCATACGGGACATGGGCTGCAAGTTTCACGCCCCTGATATAGATTTAAAAACCCATAAGGCCTGGCATGTCATTTTCAGGTGTTAACTTCCCTAGCTCAGGAGTTCATGAAAATAATTAATAGGCTATAATGTGCTTGATAGATGTCATCATAGAAAAGCTGAGTGACAGTCTGATGGATTTGAAAAGAGCTGAAGTATAAATGAAATATAGTCCAGTATTAGATTTCCTCACAATTATCAAGTGAGGAAAGGTGCAACATCAAATTAGTAGGTTAGTTAGAAAGCAGCTGGATCTAATCTAATGCTAGGTTTAGGGTTAATGCTAGCTAGAATAATAGATGCAATATGAAGCCTTAAGTCTTGATTTCAATGAGAAAGTTAAATATATGTATTCTTTTAGTTATTGAAAAGTGCTTAATATTATCTAGATTATGCCTAAGAGTTCAGTATATATTTTTGATTGGATTATATTTCCCATCATCGCTGACGATGCTGGATTTGACTGACAGAAGTCTAAAATGTTTGGGATGGGGAAACGTTTTCAGTATTAGTTTTGAGATGTTGCAAATCAGCAGAACTTTCACATGGAAAAAAATTGTGGCAGATTCAGTAAGACTTTTTAAAGGAGTTACAAGTTATGACTAGGCAGACAAAATAGTTGCAATATAACAGGTAAGTTGAACATACAATAGAAAAATTGCTAAGGCCCTAGAAGTAGTTTAGGCAACAGCAACAAAGATAATAAGGGAGCTGGAGACCAAACCATATGATGAATGGCTAAAAGAACTAGATATGTTTAGCCTATGAAGAGAAAGCTCAAGGGAGACATGATAGCGATCTTCTTTTGGACTTCACAAGGAAGTGGGTGTCAATTTAGTCTCCATCACACCTGAGGGCAGAACAAAAAGCAATGGGTGAAAGCTAGTTGGAGATTCTGCCAGGAAATAAGAAATTTTCTGACAATGAAAACAATTAATCAGTGGAACAGCTTGGCTCCTTGGCTTGTGGGTGCTCTATCACTGCAGGTTTTCAAGAAAAGATTGGACAACCATTTGTAAGGATTCATAGGGGGAAACAATGAATTTATAGATGTAGTGTTTCCTAATCAAAAATGTGGTCTTAACTAGAGAATTACCTTTCTGTGGAATGAACTTAGGTGCAGAGGGAAGATGCAAGAGAGATTGTAAAGAGGACAAATATATATTCAGTCATAATGCTAATTGTTCTAAATGAAAAGAATACCAGAAGATCCATGCTTAAAGTGAAACATTGATAGTACAACAATAAATATTAAGTGAGTTGATTCTTTAAATTCATGGTTCCATCAATGTGAGTGTATTATAAAATAAGTAGCTTGGAAATATCTAATAATTGGCAGTCTCAGCTGACCATCTCAGTACCTCTCTAGTATTGTAACATATGCTAGCTTGAGTATGTATTCCACCTATAGCACCTTCCCTTTTTAATTTGTTAATACCCTCAATTTCTCTTGTCTCTCCACAATATCGCATATGCTCCAAAGTATACTGTGGATCAGGCCTCTATTCCTCCCCACTTTTGCAGTGACTTGCTGCCAATTTTTCATTTTGGAATCTCCTGTGTAGGTAATATTAACTATATAATAATAAGGGAGAAACCAATGATCCTGGTTAAATTATGTTGAGTGATACAAAATTGTTAAACCATACTCTTAATTTAAATTAGACATTTTTATGTCATTTACATAATTCTCCAGTATAGGTATAAAATACTGCTACTATCAACATTTTAGTTATTAAACAAAGTTATTTCAAGCTCATGAAGTACAGGTGAGAAAACCAGTTATGGTTACCATTTATGATTGTTTTTTGTGTTCTTTACTTGAACTGACTATATTTGAAAATAGGTGAGCAGCTGAGGCAGTTCAACTAGATTTTCATTATTAATCTCAGTTATTACCAGATAGAACAGAAAGAAATATTTGAGTTCTCATCAGATTTTGTGTATACAAGCCAGAAAGAATCTCATGTGTACTGAGCCCTGTATATGGTCTACATAACCATCTATTGAATGGATATTTTGTGCTTAGAAGAGTAATTTGTTTGAATGAGAACTTGCCTAACTATATGTTGTGCAGTGCACATCCCTCCCCCCAATTGCAGTCTTCTGCCATTTGACTTTCCTTCCAGTTTATAAGGAGGGTTGGTCAAGCAGATCAGGATGGAAAAAGATATTTCAGAACTGACAATTTAGAAACTAATTGCCTTAGATCATAAAGTTAAAAAAAATGTGAACATTAAATTTAAACTTTTGATGAGTATAAAATTTATGATTATATTTTAAAGCCATTCAAACCAGTTGAACAATCCTCATTTGATTATATAGATGCAGTTGAGCCATGGAATGCCCTTTAAATTTGAGTATATGATGGTATTCAAAATGTTCCTCTAAACTTCATGGAGATTGGCAGTTAACTGTGTTTTTCTCTCTTATTAAGGTTTGGACCTCATGGAATTCCTGTGACTATATTTCCCAAACGGGAATACAAGGATAAACCTGAAGCCATGCAGCTCCAAAGTAAATCATTCCAAGATGAGATGCAAGTGAAATGTGAAGCTAACAGTGTTGTCCCAGACTCTTCTCCCATCCAGCCATCAGAACATAGCCTGGTTAAAAGCCTATGGACTTCCAAACCGCCTCCCCTTTTCCATGTGGGGGCACCATATCCTCCTCCTTTGTTTATCAGGGACACGTATAACCAATCAATACCTCAACCTCCACCTCGAAAAATTAAGCGGCCCAAGCGAAAATTGTACAGGGAGGAACCCACTTCTATTATGAATGCTATCAAATTACGACCCAGACATGTCTTATGTGACAAATGTAAGAACAGTATTGTTGCAGAAAAGAAAGAAATTAAGAAGGGCAGCAATGCAAGTGACTCCTCAAGGTGTGAGGATACTAGGAAACGAAGAAATGAGAGCGTAACTACTGTGAATAAAAAAATTAAAACTGATCATAAAGTTGATGGGAAAAGTCAGAATGAAAGCCAGAAAAAGAATTCTGTGGTCAAAGTTGCAAATATTGTCCACAGCAGAAGTAGAGTAGTCAAAGTTCCCACTCAAGCAAATACATCGAAAACCCAATTAAATACTAAAAAAGTTCTTCAGAGCAAAAACATGGATCATGCAAAAGCTAGGGAAGTTTTGAAAATAGCCAAAGAAAAGGCACAAAAGAAACAGAGTGCAACTTCAACTTCCAAAAATGCGCATTCAAAGGTCCACTTCACAAGGCGTCTTCAGAACACCAGCTCAGGTTCCCTGCCTCCCCGGTTGCGTCTGAAGCCACAAAGGTACCGAAATGAAGAAAATGACTCCTCTCTCAAGACAGGGCTGGAGAAATTGCAGAGTGGCAAGATGGCAGCTAAGTCCCAATCTCGCTGCTCGTCTACCCGCTCAGCAGGTGAGGCCCCTTCAGAAAATCAGAGCCCCTCAGAAGGTCCTGAAGAGGCCAACAGTGAGGTTCAGGACACCAATGAAGTGCATGTACCTGTTGATCAGGATGAACAGCAGACCATGGGCAAGAGAGGCAGCAAAAGCAATATTACAGTTTACATGACCCTTGATAAAACGAAATCTGACTCTTCCAGTGCATCAGTCTGTAGTAGTGATAGCACAGATGACTTGAAGTCCTCCAATTCTGAGTGTAGCACTACTGAAAGCTTTGATTTTCCTCCAGGCAGCATGCATGCACCTTCTTCCTCTTCCTCCTCCTCTTTAAAGGAAGAGAAAAAGCTCAGTAATTCTTTGAAAATGAAAGTCTTTTCAAAAAATGTCTCTAAATGTGTCACACCAGATAGCAGGACCATATGTGTAGGAGACATTGTTTGGGCCAAGATATATGGCTTCCCATGGTGGCCAGCTCGTATTCTTACTATAACTGTGAGCCGAAAAGATAATGGCCTATTAGTCCGACAGGAAGCTCGTATTTCATGGTTTGGGTCCCCAACAACATCTTTTCTTGCTCTTTCACAGCTCTCCCCTTTTTTAGAAAACTTTCAGTCGCGATTTAATAAGAAGAGAAAAGGTCTTTACCGCAAGGCCATTACAGAAGCAGCCAATGCTGCTAAGCAGCTAACTCCTGAAGTTCGGGCCCTGCTGACACAGTTTGAAACATGAACAAAGTAAGGTAGGCAAGAAATGGGGAGGCACCACGAAATGTCTAACCTAGTCAACTATTTTGAAGGAGTTGGGCCAATTAGATTTTTAAAAATGCACTCAGTTGGCTGCTTTTTATACTGAAATTTCCATTTGTAGCAATGTCTTGACTGAAAGTTAACCTTTAAAAAATTGTACATGCAATCAGATTAACCTAAAGCGAGAGCTCAGTATTTTTCAAGAGAACGCTTTACGTTTCTTTGTAAAAGTTCAGAAGTTCCTTTGCTCACCCCATGCACAGGAGCCATAACCTCAGCTGAAGAGCAGTTTATTTGCAGGGAATTTTTACTAGTTTCTATCCACTATATATAAATTTATATATACCATTTCAATGTGGAGAGGGGAAGGGAGGGAAATCAATCTAAGTGATGGGATTTGCAGGCGTAACTGGACAGCCCACCTTAAATGCAGAATCCTAAGTTCTATCTCACTTGTAAGCTTTATTTCTGTGATTTTACCCAGTGGAAGTGAGCCCAAAGAGTTCACCTATGCCTAAAAATGCTTTTGTTCCTGCTGGCCACTTTAATTCCTTTAGAAACCAGTCTAATTGGAATTCTGGTAGACTTGATTATAAATAAATACGTTTGTGGTCACTTTTTTTCAAATGCTCAAAATTATGCTATGCACCCATGGATAAACATAACACTCTTCAGGTTTTGGGAAGTTTAAGAGAAAGCTGGTTGCTCACATTAGACTGGACAGTCCTTCCATGTATGGGATCAAGGACTGTTAATGCTGCGTTAAGTGTGAATTACATAATTTCCTGTTGGGAAGGGAGGGTGCTCCTAGGACAGTTGTTCTAAGGGTTAGCTTGAGAATTTTGTGTTGTGTAAATAATTAGTCAGATTTTTTTTTCTGACTACTTGTTCTTAAATCCTTAGGATACGTCCTAGTAAATTACACTTTGTGAATTGTCAGATGTGTAATTGTTGCATTTGGATGTATCAAACTGCTTTTTTTTAAGTATTTCCATTTAAGGTATCTGTTTGCAGGTCAGAAAATATGGAAAATGTAATTGTGTAATGCTCTGAAATGTACAAAAATGTAAATAAAATTGACGAAATCTAATTATTTGTGTGTGTTTCTCAAAAAGCCTTGAAAGGAAACTCAGGAACTGAGGCTGGTCTGTTTATGCAATGCTTAGGAGACATTCTGAAGGAAATCATTTTTTCTTGCTCATCATTAATTAAACTGGCTTCATTAGCTGCTTATAAAATAATAGTGTTCAAATTAACAAATTTTCGATTTTTAATAAATTCAATTGTTTTTCCCTAAATGTTTATCAGTAATTCTGTAAGAAGTACCTTTCCTATATTTCTAATCTGTGTTAATGAATGTTTTCTTGCTGTTAAATATTCTGCTTGTCTCATGCGCTGCACTGGGCAGTGAAATGGAGTTAATTCGGTTAGATAGCATGCGCAATAGGTTCTACTACTTCGCATTTAGAGGGCGTAATTTAGAGGGCGTAACTTCATTGCCCTGAAATTTATACCCGAGTTCTATGAGTAGATATTTTCCAGGAAGAAAGAATGTTAAACAAAAATCAGGCCAACATATGGAGTCCAAAGAAATAATGATTAAAGGCTCTGTTGTGACTGATGCTAAGGTATGTCTCATGTTATAATACAGTGTTAACTCAATTTTTCCAAAATACTTAAGCTTTAAACTGTTTAGCTATTTTAGAAATGTGCTTTAGAAAATCTCTCTGCTTTCCTGAGCTATTCCATTTGACAATGCTCACAATCAATTGTAAATTTCCAAACCTATTAAGAAATGAACTTGTATTCAGTCAGCCAATGCTTTTTGAAATTGGAAAACACACAAAATGGCATGCAGTCCTATTTCAGTCTTATACCGTGTATTCTCTTTCCTGCAAACAGAAACCAATGTAGTAATTCAACAAGCAAAACGTGCTATGTCTTTTTTAAAGGCAGGCTGTGCTCAGAATTTGTTAAAATACACTGTTTACCATAAACTTGAAAATGTAGGTTGGCTTAGGGTTGCTGTGGACAAAGTTTGTTCTAAATTTGGGTGGACTACCTCTCTAGACATGATCAAGATGAACATTCAAACGGTATAGGGTTGAAACGGTATAGGGTTTCCTGCCTAGGCAGGGGGTTGGATTAGAAGACCTCCAAGGTCCCTTCCAACTCTGCTAATGTATTATTGTATTTATACTAGCTTATGGAAGTACTCTTAATAGAGGCTTGCTCCTTCTATCTTGGAATCCTATTTCTGAACCAGATGTTCTAATAGATTCAGAAATTAATTTAAACCGAATGCATATTTTTTTTCCAAACCAAGGAATGCCCTAGCAGGGAGTGCTTTGCATGCATTCTCAATAATTATCTTGTGGCCAGGATAAATATTTGAATTATTTTCATTAATATTGAAATGTAATGAAAGATAATGAATATGATTATTCCCTAAATGGATATTTAATCTTTATTTTTGCCACATTAAAAAAATAACACTAGAGGTCTCTGGACCATACTAAGGCTTACAGGAGCTATAGCAATAGCAGTAGATTTATATACCGCTTCATAGGCCTTTCAGGCCTCTCTAAGCGGTTTACAGAGAGTCAGCATATTGCCCCCAACAATCTGGGTCCTCATTTTACCCACCTCGGAAGGATGGAAGGCTGAGTCAACCCTGAGCCGGTGAGATTTGAACCGCTGACCTGCTGATCTAGCAGTAGCCTGCAGTGCTGCATTTAAACCACTGCGCCACCTTGGCTCTACATGTAGCTCTAGATTGTGCATCTGTGCTATGGAAATGGAATTCTCTTGTGTCAGAGAATTCTTACAGTCTGGAAGAAATACACAACTTTATCAAGCAGGAATTGATTCTTATTTTCAATATTCTTTTTTCATGTATCTTGCTAATTCAGAGACTGGTGCCTTTTAAAAGTTTGTTCTAAATGTGTTTAATTTTTAATGACATTACGATGTTTTTGGCCATTGCTTCATGTCATTTTATGTCCTATGAAAGTCTTGATTTATGTGGTTAACTTATTAAAATCATGTAGATGTCATGCAGTATGTATGTAACAGTATTACTGTTCATTGCAAGGCATCAAGATGATGGATGTGATTTATTCTGGCTTTTTTGGAGGGAGAAGCGACTGTTGAAGCACCAAATCAAATAAACACTTGTTTGGAATTCCATTCTTTTGAGGAGAAAGTGGCCCTCATGCAGGAGATAATTTGGATTTCTATCAGCTACAGTTTTGTGGCTCCCAAATTTGGGGTTAATCTCTCCTATCCCAATGTGCTTTTCAGAAACTGAAGAAGCTACATACACAATTTTTATGGGCAGGTTCTTTGTATACCAATTCAGATAAGGTACAAAATGTCTACATATTTTGATTAAGCTTGGTATTAGGGACTATTGCAGTTTCTTTTAGTTTGTGTTTGACAAATTGTTTTAAGGCAATTTCTTTAATGGAAGAAATAGTGACAATGGTCTTGCATCTGTATGACTGAGGTGAAACTAATTCAAACATACGTTAAACTCGATTTCATCTTACTGTGAGAACACAATCCTACAAGAGTTGTATGCTCACATTTTAGTGGAAATTAGTTGCTTACATCTGCTGCATTGGTTTGCTGAAGTACAACTTCTGTAGGGCGATTGGCAGATTAAAAACCTTTTCAAGCAACTTGTAATTCATCTATTTTCAGTCTGAATAGCTGTCGTAATTATAATGAAAGCTACAATAGTTCACCAGAGCAAAACCAACAAAGAATCTAGCTCTTAAACTATTGCTCATTTCATCTTATTTTTAAAGTTGATTGTGAAAGCCCATTCTCCAGGTACAATAAATTTCCTCCCTGATTTCATCCCCACAATAATCCTATGAGTAGGTGAGACTCAGTGGGTCACCCACTTAGTTCCATTGTAAATAAAACTATAAGTGTGTACAACTATAAATTTCATATTTATATATCTCACATTTTTATATTCTCTGTGTGTACACATAGATACATTTGTGTGTATTTTTTCACATACACCTTTTACATCCTGATGTAGTATATATATTCAAGTTGAGACTTGAGTCTGGTTTTCTCTAGGCCAAGTCTCATATTTTCCTCCTTCGCTGCTTATCTCTTAATTGTCAATAGACCACGTTCAAGCTAAAAATCAGGAAAAGCATAGGATATATCCCAGCTCCTAGAAATCTTAACATCTGACATATCTTGGCATTTTTCAAATTCAGTGCAATTCCTCTCAGATGTTTACCTAATCTACTGCCTAAAAGTAACAGTGCATAGAATGTATGAACATGATTTTGGATTATGGTCTTGATAATTTATCTATACAAATGTTTTAATCAGGACTGTGTTAGCATGTTTATTTTAACAAGCTCTTACTGAATATTAATCTTAATAAATGAGTCCCCTGGGAGCCTGGTGATGGGTTAAAAGTGTACTTAAGAAAGGTCAAGCAATTAAAATAATACACTGATTTAATGAAATGAGAAATCTAGTTCTGCTGGAAAAAGAAAGTGATAAATAGTCCAGAGCCTCTATCTACATGAGCTGACAGTGAATGAAAAGACACTTCTGTGCAAGCAAGGTAGCATAAAATATGAAAACTAATGGAATTACTTCAGCAACTTGGAATGAGTTCATATATAAATGTTCCATCAATGCCTTAATAGTAGCCTAGGTACAAAAAGTAAATCAACACTAGATTGAACTAAAATTGAGTACAATAAAGTACAAGATGTGAATTTATAATGTGAAAGCACAAATGTCTCAGTGAGTTAGGCAAGCCAATAATTCACTTTGCCAATGATCTCTATAGGAGGGATGTTCTATGTTTAATGTTTAAAAAGTATTGCCATCAATCCAGCCACAATAAAATTCATGCCTTACTGAAGTATATATGGTAGTATGACACACAATTGTGTGCATTTTGAACTCAGTATTTTTATGTTCGCACATACACAAGCTCAGTTCAAACCTAGTGTTAATCAATTTTGTTATCAGGAATGGATTTAAAGTTTTCATTAGATACATGTATAAAAGATAAGCTACCCTTTAATCATCAAGATCAAAATTGTCTGAAAACAAGCCATAGGGAACAGGAATGCACTCATGCCAGATATACCTGGCTTCTGGATTTTACATAGCTCTACGGTTGGGCAGTTTAGAGAATACTTGATAAACTAGGTCTTTGGTCTGATTCAACGTG